ATCCAAAAATAGTGGCTCTTTTCGACTCACCAATCTTGACTGAATCAATTTTTAAATTGGATGTTCTTTTAAATTTTTGGTCTTTGATACTATATCAATATTTATATCGTTTTATCTCAAAACTAATTGACGATGAGAGAAGTAGCTCGTGTTATTATAAATTTTTGTTAAGTCATTTATTTTTTTCAACGTATAGGATAGGATGCTACTTCTAATTTAACTTTAATTTTTTAATTCAAAATTTTCTATTTTTTCCAACAAGCTACAACCTTGATTATAGTTTTTCCTTCGTAAATAAAGACTGTATTCTTTTATTACATGTTTTGTCATTTTTTTATTGGTTTGTTAGAATGAAAGTGTAAATGTAACTTTTTTTGTGTGTGACTACGAATTTGTTGTTAGTTTAATTTAGTTTTTTTTTAATAATAAAACATTGTTCATATATTCTCAAAGGTCTGTTTCTTCTGCCTGGCTATCTGACACTAAAGGAATATTTGAATTTAACAAACAAAAGCTGACCATATAAAAATACATTTCTATCTTCGAAGATCCTCGAATGCATTTTTTAGCAATTTTTTTTTTTAGATAAAGAAAATGGGAGTTCATTTTTAAAAGAAATAAAATTTTGTTTTCGAAACCGTCTCGTAGACTTGCAGTTTTGCCCTCATTCAACTAAACCAACCACACTACTTCTTAGGTGTACCAAAATTGAGCATCGATTCGGGATTTTCCTTTTTATATAATCTATGTTTTTAGAAGATATAATCAAGATTAATGATGATCTTCTTCGGGAAAATGAAATAAGCAGTTAGGATTCGAGAAAGTACATATATAAGTACTTGTTTCAGGTAAATTACTTTTATACATGTGTAGAGATCAGATGAATGCAGTTGCTCACTGTATTGCAGGAGAGTTATTTCGACGAGATTTACTATTGTTGTGGAACTTTTCCAATTAGCTTGTTCATCTCGTGGAGGTCGATAAATTTTCATCTCGTGGAAGTCCGTTTGATTTTTTAACGAGGCAGTTTTATAAAAAGATTAATGTTATTTTACACATTGAAATTAACTATATATAATTTTAGAAGGAATATATTATATAAAAACTCTATAATTTATCTTTTAACCTAAAAAAACAAGCAATCTAGCAACACCAATGAAAAATGAGAATTACATAAAACTTTTGAAATATAATTTTCCAAATATATATTTTTCCGAACTATTATTCCAAAAAAAAAAAAACAGAAAATTATTTTGAAAAAAAATTCAAGTCCTTAAAGATAAACTAGATGTTGACGTATGGGCACAAACTTTATAAAAGTCACAAAAGATGTTAAGTTATTAAAGTGGTTTAAATTTGATTAGCTAGGGAGAAAATATTTGCTTATTTCAAATTTTGCAAGCATTAATCCCCATTTCCGAGTTGGTAATCATGGGTTTAGGTGTCAAGTCAATTGTCATTTGCTTTTTAAAAATATACTGTTGGGGTAATATAATATAAAATAAAAAAAATAGTGTTCCTTTGTAAAATAATAGAGCATCTATCACATGTAGATCCAAAAATATTTTTAGCATGCAGGTTATTTAATTAATAAAAATGTGTAGAACAAAACAAGTGCCACACAGTAATGTTTGTCCTTTTGTTTAAGCATTAAATATTTAGGGAACAGATTTTTTGGGATAAAGGGCAGATAATTAAAAGAGGTTCAAAAAATTGTTAAGATGTCACATTAACGAGCTCAAAAATTGCTCAATCAAGGGGACCATGTGGCTTCACTATAGTTCTTGGTTTGTTTAAGCTTGTGTTTACATGATTTTATTTTTCACTTTTTGAAAAAACCATTTTCAAATCAAACAAACACGTTTTAGATGAAATTGGTAGATATTGAATAAGAATCGATTAATTTTGAAGACCTAATTATAATGAATGAAATCTTTAAATATTGAAAAAAATGAAAAGTTTCGTGTACTCCATTAAATATTTATTGATATCGAAAGGAAACTCAAAGGATGAAGTTATTTTTTTGTTGTTTTAGTTTTGATTTCAAGATAGGAAAAGAATTATTGTTTATATATTATTGTTCTCGTAAAAAAAATTAAAAAAATCACGAGATTAAAATATACAAAACATTAAATCGAAATCCTAATATAATTTAAAATTTTAATGAAAGTATACTAATGAGGAGAGAAATGACTGCATTATTGAGGAATTTTCGACCCACCTATTTTTATTTTATTTTTTTAAATCTGAGTATAAATGAATAATTAGTTATTTAAGAGTAGGAATGAAGACAAGGAGACGACATGACCTCTCCTTATCTTGAATTTTATTTTTATAAATATTATTATTTTTTAAACATATTTTACTTTCCAAACTATTCTTAAAATATTATAATTTTAAGAAACTATTTTGCAAAACATTATTGTTTTGAGACGTTTAACAGAATGTCATAGGCTAGCTGGAACATAAAATAATCTTTGAAGAGACGTTTTGAAGAGACGTTACTAAGCATATGAAATTGCCTTTTCAAAAAGAGTAAAGAAAATGCTCGTGGCACCATAGTTGTTTGCTAGTTGAGATCTCAGAGGTCGTTGGTTCAATTTTTTAGATCCAAATTACATATTAATAATGGCACTAAACGGAAAATATTTTTTTAAGTATAGATGTGGATGTGGAAATCAAACATACGATCTTTTGATTGTAGATAAGTGTCTTAACCAGTTGAGTTATATAGAAAGAGAGAGAGAACGTAAGCACGGGAATTTATTTCCCCGAGTCATTTAATGATTTCAAAACTAAAATATCTTAAAGAATTAGTTTCAGAAAATTATATTTTCATAATTTTTTTTTTATTTTGACAACATTTTTGAATTTATCCTCTTAGCTTCCTCCCCCTCTAATGAAGAATTATTCTCAGTTAGTTTGTACTTGTTTGATACATAAAAAGAACCCTCAGAAAAAAATTAAATATATTAATGACTTTTTTATTTAAACTTGCAATATTATTGAAATCTGTTTTTTTTTTTTGGCATGTATAAACACATTTCATCATAAAATATGAATATCAAAAGTCTTGATGTTCATGCATATCAATTATCAACTTATAGAGATGAGGATATATCATGAATAATACAAAAACTATATAAATAGATAATTTAAAGTACATATTAGTTGAAGAGATGACAAAAATATTTATATACTTTTAATAAATGCTTGTAATTATAGACATTATATTTGCAGATCTAAGTCGAAATAACAATATTAAATTAACAACAATAATTGTTACATGCAAGTTATAATTTTGGACACGTCCCACCCAATTGAATTAGGAAATACCAAATTAAATAATCCTATTCCTTGAGATGTAGCTGGCAGATCCATTTAGAGAATTGTTCATATTGAATCCTTTATTCCTTTATATTATGAGTAGAGAATTTACAATAAAATGGCATTGACCAAAAAAATTAGACGTAGATCATTATTAGAAGCATATATTATATATAATGTTACATTTTTATTATACATTATTTTTACATCCTTTTTGTAAACATAATATAGACGTAGATCATGAATGAGAAAGAAAATCACAAAAACAATCTCAACCTTTTTGGACAAATTTATTAATTTAAAATGAAATAACTAAAAAAAATAGAATGCATATTTTGGGGCAAAATTTTAGTGCAGTAACAATATACATTAGGATCATATTTGCAAATATAGCAATTTGATTATGATTTTACATGACATTTTTTTTCTATAATTTGTTCGCTTACATTCAAACAATTTTATGTAATTCCTTTTCTACTTTTGTTTATAAAGGGTTCAAGCTTATCAATGATATAGTCCTCACACCCATGAGTAAATATTTTATAGTAACTTGGCTATATCACTTATAAATGTCTACCACCTAATGAAATAACAAACGTAGTTTTTTCATGAGCAAGGTTATTATTGGGCTAGATTATTTTTATTATATATATATATATATATTTACAATTAATTGAACTTGTGTTTTGTCCATTCATACAAACGCTTCCTTTCTCGAGAGTATGAAAAATACAATAGAGAGAGTAAAATGCTAATTTAAGATGATCAAAATGCGCTCTCGAGAAAGAATCCATTGTTCCTCCCTCAATAGATGAGGTCGGGGTGCGGTATCACAATGACAATTTTGAGTGACATACATTAGTAGAGAAGGAAGAGGGGGGTAAAAGGGATAGGTAGATGAAAAGTTTGCTACAATGACGGACATTAGAAGCAGAAGCAGCAGTCCCAATTTCAAGTTTTGGAATTAGCCCACACCCACACCCACCTACACCACACCATAAAGCCCTAAGCCTTAACTTGGATGCTAAGTTTTTATTATGCTATGCGCCCCTTTTGCAACTCTAACGAATCTCTCCTTCTCTCTCAACATTAACATCAATCTTACCCTTCCAACTGGACCAATTTACTTTTTTTTCTTCTTCACTTCCCTCTCTATTATTTCCCTTTTCTCATCCTCCCTTTGAATATTCCTTCCAATCATAATTTTCCTATTTATTCTTATTATATTATTTTACACTTTGCATTTGCCAAACCAAACGGTTCCATCACAGTACATACAATACAGTCCAGAGGCGGCCAATCTGCCAACCTCTTGCATTATTACTAAACTCGTGTCTCTTTCTATTTCTCTTTCCTCTCCCCAATACCCATAGCCTTCAATTCTGAATACATTTAGTCTTCCCCCTTCTTTATCCAATCCAATTTCCTTTCAATCTCAATCTATTTCATTGCTTTCTTTTTTCTTTTAAATAAAATACCAATTTGAGTTTTCCAATTTCCATGTGTTATTGTGAGTAAGCATATTATCCAATTTTAGACTTTTCTTCTTCCCTCTTTTAATTATATTTCTTTTATCTTAATTATGTGCAAATGTGGGGTTTGATTATTGCCCCTAAAAAAGCAAAATGATTCGGGATTTTGATCCAACTGGCTCATTACCCCTCACTCCTATATATTCCTACTGCTCCCTCATTAATGCCGCTCATCCTCTTCCCTTCCCTTCCCCCTTCCCCCATCTTTCTTTAATTCTCTTGTGACCCCAACTTTTTAATAATAATCCTTTGCAGAAATGGGTCGCGTCAATCCCCTTATTGCATTCTCCCTTCTCTCTCTCCCTCGTCTGCTTCTTCCCTTCCCCCACTCTCGCCCAACTCCGACAAAACTTCTACGCCAACATCTGCCCAAATGTCGAAAACATAGTCCGCGCCGAAGTTAACAAGAAATTTCAGCAAACTTTCGTCACTGTTCCCGCCACACTCCGCCTCTTCTTCCACGATTGCTTTGTTCAGGTCCCCCCATAACTCTTTTCTTTAATTAATTAACTTATTAATTCCATTTCACACCTTTTCTATAATGCTTTTTTGGGCTTCATTTATAATTGTAACAGGGATGTGATGCATCCGTCATTGTCGCTTCCACCGCATCCAACAAGGCCGAGAAGGACCATCCCGATAACCTCTCCTTGGCCGGAGATGGATTCGACACCGTCATCAAGGCTAAGGCCGCCCTCGACGCCGTCCCTCAATGCCGAAACAGAGTCTCCTGCGCCGATATTCTCGCTCTCGCTACCCGTGACGTCATCGCACTGGTCACTACTGTCATCATAATTCTGTTGTCAAAATTTTAAATATATAATGTATAATATCGGCGTTTAACTTGATCGGAAACTTTGCAGTCCGGCGGGCCGTCGTACGCGGTGGAGCTGGGAAGATTAGACGGCCTTGTTTCGAGGGCGTCCGACGTGGAGGGGAAACTCCCGGCTCCGACCTTTAATCTCAATCAGCTCAATTCTCTGTTTGCCGCGAATGGTCTTACGCAGCAGGACATGATCGCTCTCTCAGGTAAAAATTAAAGATCACGGTTGTGGTTCTCACGCTCCAATCAAATTCCGACACGTGTTCGTAACGAAAGCCTAGAAAACTCCCGTGACTTGTTTGTGTCGGTTTTAGTTATACAAGCACTTAATTACTGTGTGATGTCATGTGGCAGCGGCTCACACCGTTGGATTCTCCCACTGCGGGAAGTTCGCGAACCGAATTTACAGCTTTGCCCCCGGGAATCCAGTGGACCCCTCACTGAACAGAACGTATGCAACCCAGCTACAGCAGATGTGCCCTAAGAACGTGGACCCCAGAGTGGCCATCAACATGGACCCCATCACGCCCAGAAGATTTGACAACATATACTTTAGGAACCTCCAGCAGGGAATGGGCCTGTTCACGTCGGACCAGGTTCTCTTCACCGACGGCAGGTCCAGGCCCACAGTCGACGACTGGGCCCGCAACTCCAACGCCTTTAACGCGGCCTTTATTCAAGCCATGACCAAGTTGGGCCGGGTCGGAGTCAAGACCGGTAGCAACGGGAACATCCGACGCGATTGTGGAGCTTTCAATTAAAACACAGAATTGAGAATCCTCCTCCCCCTCTGGCCTCTGCTTCTAGTCTACGTCACACGTGTATCTAGGCGACGACTCGGCGATTCGATTGAGTTGGAGCGAACGAGTTAATAAATGGAGGGACATTTATTCGCTTCCTTAGTTTGCCATAGGATTTGTTTCCAAATGTAATTAGGATTCAATTTCAATAAGCGAGAGCCACGTCATCATATGTTTCTTCATATAATTGCATTCAAATTTTCAACTCTTCTCCAAGTTTCCCTCCCTAATAATAATACAATATATAAGTCACATCGTATAGACTTTCATACAATAATTCGCGATTAAGGCAAGTAATCCACTTTAACAAAATATAATTTTTTGAACCCTCAAATTATGTGGAAAGAAAATCCGTGAGAATATTATTTGATGATGTGAAATTTAGTTTGGTAATTTGGAAGGGCAAGGTATATGGGGAGCAAAGCATGTGCAGAAAGGATATATAATTAAAGAAGAAAAATGGTGAATTATTACAAGGAGGAATGTCAACGTCAAAACTTGATGCGCTGCCGCTGCCGCTGCCTTAGTTGTACAAACCATTTTAAAACAAAACACTTTTTCATTTTTCTTTCTCACAGCTGTATGCCTGTATCCAATTCCAAGCAAATATGCCTCTATTGGTTTGGAATTTGACTTCTTTTTTTCTTTTGGTTCTTAAGATATTTAGAAGCAAACATTATTTTTGCTTCCATTTTTTGCTCCTCACTTTTTTAAGAATGACCATATTAGACTTGATCTACCTCTATCTTCAATTCCATCCTTTCTCAACAAATATGTATATATTTCTGTTTAAGCTACTATTAGTATTACATATTGTACTTACTTAGTTTAACTACTTGTTTAGTTAGCAACTAATTATTCTGTTTCTTTATTTACCACGTGTATCCCATCCTCAATTAATTCAATGACATACTAAATTACATTCCTGCCATGTTCCTCTTATAAGTTACTCTATATGAATTTTTTTTTTCAATTTTTTTTTATATGATGGATGTAGTGAAAGTTGATAAAGTTTTTTTTTGCTTGAAGAGTGTATGTTATAGGCAAGAGAGGGAAGAGGCCATCTCATCTGTGTAGTTTCTAGTTTTGACATTTTTAATTATTTTTTACTGTAATGTTGTTATTGAAAAAAAAAAAAGAAAAAAAAACCAAGGTATGGATAAAGAAAGAAAAAATCAATTTTCTACTATTACGTTTCAAACATCTACCCCTTGAAAGTGAAGGAAAATGTTAAAAGTCGTATGCGTTTTCAGTCTGGGGAAAATTATTGCAGTTGAAAGTGAAGGAAATAAAAATTAGGATGAACATCAAATCAAATCAAGTCCGTTCATTTTAGAAAATGCCATGCATACATTTAACAATAAATTAGATATTGGAAATACAGGTTTATCTGATGGTAAGAAATTGAAAAAATAATAATAAATAAAAATTAAACATTGGTTTTATTTATTTTGTTGGTTATTTAGTTGGTGGGTATTCCAACTTCGAATTTTTGGTCGTGACTGTTGATGGCGAATTTTGGAGAGGTCCACGTGTCCTTCAAAACGGAGCGTCGTCAAACAAACGGGTATGCAACAATGATCTTCGACACTGGTGTAGTGTCCCACCTTATGGACTCCAACGATCAAGTTAGTAATCAAAGCAGAAATAACAGAGAACACTTCAAAGAATTAGCGACAGATTTTTCATTTACTTAGTGGTAGTGGTTCTTTCCTTTTATAGGTGTCTATGACCAATTAAGTAGGACATTTCGTACGTGGAGAACTGGTGGTGCTCCTCGTCGTACGAGATTCAGACGGATAGATGAGAACATTATTAGTATGCGGTGGTCACACTGTCATTTGTCAGTCCCGTGCTACGTAGTAGGTGTGTGCATCCCTTCTCCACCCTTTTGCTTGTACACTTCACGCCGTCTATGGTCCCCCTTCCGGTTATCACCCACTAGAATCTCACACGTCACCTTCTCAAATTTCTCCCTCGACAATATACATTTTAACTAATTGAATTATGTTTAGATTGACGGAGAGATATGCACACAATTAATAATTAGTTATTATACAAGAACGTATAATAATTAAATTTATTATTTTATTTTTAATAAATATTTCCAAGATTCTGTTTCGTATGCATATAAATTCCTGAAAATAAATAGAATGTAAAATAATAAATTTAATTTATGATAATTGACAATCATAATAATCACTCATAATTGATTTAGAGTTGAGGTATTCTCACCTAAGCAAGATAAGTTGGCAAGATAATTTTGTTTTGTTTTTTGTTTTTTTTAATAGACTTCGGCAAGATAATTTTGTTAAATTAAGAAGTTTGAGCGAATTTTGTACTTTGACGTGTTTGAAAATATTCTTATGAGCCGTACTATGTCTTTTTTTTTTTTTTGATAAAAGAAAAAAATAAAAATCCAATCGATTCCAACATTAAGGTCAGCGCCCCATCCATGTGATATTTCGGACTCTAGTCGGATCTTTTGTTTCTCTTTGGTTATATGGGCCCGTTTCTGTAGGATAAGGCCCAGATCCATTCTCGGCCCCAAATCAAGACAAATTAAAAGATATATAAAACAAAAATGGAAAAAGGAAAATTTGTAAAGTAGGTGGGAATCGAACTCAAAACCTATGTCAAATTATGCTATGCTGACTTTGATTGTTAACAATTTTTTATTTTTATTTCAATATATATATCACGTGGCCCAAGGATATCAAGATTTTTAATACAAATAATAATAAATAATATTTTTTTATTTTTTTTATTTTTTTTTTGAGAAACTTTATTTTTACTTTTTAATAGAAACTTTTATTTATGTTTTAATTAATTTTATCTAAACATTACTGAATTAATTATTTATAAGGGACATTTAATACAATATAGCTACATTGTAAATTTGGTCTTTATGATTTAGGTATAAGTTTTAATTTGATCTTTATGATTTAGGTATAGTTTCAATTTGATCTTTATTGTTTTAAAAATTTCAATTTAGTCCCCAAATCCACCTATTATCTTATATTTTCTACTGATCCACATAAGCTCATCGGGATGTAAAAAATTGTGTTATTATAGAGAATGGATTGAGAATTAAAAAAAAAAATCTATATAGCATTAAATTAATTAAAAACATATTCATGTCATTTGGAAATAAATTAATAATGGTTTAAATATTTGATAGATTATCTTATACTTTAAAATTAGGATTTTTTTAAGCAAACATTTATAATTATAGACTAAAATAAATAGATTTATATGGGGAAAAAAAGAGGAGACCTTCAAAATTGTGATTGTCTCGTTTGTCTGTCCGTTAAGTGACTTTAATTATATATGGGATAAATTAACTATTATTATTCTACTATAAAAGTAAAAAAATAATAATAATAATAAAATAAATAACTTATTATTTTTTTCTTTTTTTACAGCATGTCGGGAGGAGATTCAAACTCAGATGGCCTAAAAATTAGTTATTTGTTACTTGAAAACTTGTCCAACAAAAAATCATACCGAGAGGAATTTATAGCCACGTAACTGCTCAAAGGAATTTACAATTTAATTAACTTTTTTCCATATTTTCAATGAAGTAAATCGAATATAATTAGTTAAGAAAATCACGCAAATGATGTTCATGAATGCTGTCTTAAGGATAAAATGATATTATAAGGGTGGGTCTCGTAGTAATTTTTTGAAAGGGGTGAAAGAAAGATATTGTTGAATCACGGCATATGATAATAACATGCAAATTTTAAATTAAGAAAAATAGAGACTAGAATATCATTTTAGTTGCGACAATACAATGTTAAACATGACTATATAAATGTGTGTTTAATTACCATGTTAGTGCTTGATATACGTAGTTCTTTGCGAGTTTTTGATCTAGTGAATGAGTAGTAGTTGTATTGAATTGTGAAGGAAGAATAATAAGATATAGTTGTTAGTTTGAGGTTTGATGTATGAAAATGTGATAGGCAGATGAGAGTGAGAGAGAGAGGAGGAAATGCGATAAATCCAAGTTTTGTTAGTGCAAAAGGGGGGGAAGCAAACAGGAAAAGTTAATATGAACCAACGAAACGGAAATAAATGCAGAAAATAGGGTTGGGTCGGCCATAGTGTGTTTCTGTACGGCGAAATGTGGGAGTCGGCTTAATTGGCAATATGACACGAAACCCCAACCCCCACCCCCCCGGCCCTCACCTGAATCCTTAAT